GCATTCAGGTGCCATTGAAATAGTTTCACTATGCTTTACATGAAGCATTACTCATACTCATTTAATGGTACTGACAAAGGAACTCCATTCTGATAGCAGGTACAACACTGGAGAGTTAGTCAGCAAACTACACGGAAGTACCAGAAGCAGCAATAACAGCGCAGACTTCCAAACTACTGTGCCAACATACTTTAAGCAGACCCTGGAAGAGCTCTCTTCTACAACACTGCCAGAGGAAGTACATTAAGTACTTTTCCTTCTCTAAAAAGACCATCAATTATGAATGGATTGGGATGTGAATACTGCAACAAGGAATGAGATAACTGATCATGTTATCAAGACCAGTATGTAACATTCACGTCCTGTTGTCATTGGGCTGGATTTGAACTAGTTGCAAGGAATCCCTGCTTCTAAATTCAGCCTGCACTTAAAAAAAAAAAAAGCAAGGAATATTGGAAGTCCTAGGACAACTGTCCAGATATGATGTGAAAGTGAGCTCTATCAGCAACTTTATGAACAGAAAAAGGCTTAACAACTGCATAAAATAAGTAAGAAAAGCTATAGCAGAGTTTGGAATTCTTTAGAAAACTAGAGCTTTGACTCTCAGGATACCACAAGCTTATCTTAGTGGTCCAAAAAGTAGGAGAGGTGAACACCTTTCAAAGAACGAGAAGGGAAGAACTGACTTGACTGAACCAGAATTGTTGGGATTTATTTTGAGCTCTGTCCTTACCTCTTTCTTTGACCTTGGCCGTGTCACTTTGCTGCTAATTTTCTCCACCACATTTATGTTCTACCAAGTGGCAACTTTTATAAAGCACTTTGCTAACTGGCATGAACACCCTCAGCAAAATCTTTCAGTGTAGTGTAACTAACAAACGTATTTTGCTGAGCCAGGCAAAAAAACCCAACAAATATGCTTTTGCTAGATCTCTGCAGCATTAGTTAACTGGCATTATTCCTACAGCAATGCCGGCATACCTAATATTGACAGACAAAAAGAAACAAACAGGGTCAGCTTCATTATTTTCAATATTTCACTGAAACCAACAGGACTGCCCTTTTTGATCCTAAGCATTACATGCCAAGCACCTTCCTCTGGACAGAAATGAGACTCAAATCACAGATAAGAGAAAGGGAAACTCTAAAACCTGTGCTAAACAGTTACATTGACTTCAGTGGGCATTCCTAGTTTTTTCTAGAGCTTCGCATTTAGATTATTTAGGGACACTGACAGCAGGAGAGGCCTACTACCAATTCTGGAACGTAAGCTCAGTGGAGCACCAACATGCAGCTGAAGCGACATCACCAGATGAAAAATGATGGAACAAAAAATATCCACCTTTTTGGTTAAAAGAAGGAAAATGGACAATTGGTTTGGAGAGTGCTTTTTGATGAGAAGAATCTTGAGAAACAGACACCTCCTGGAATCTTCAAATAAACCCCTGAAGTTCAGTCCCTATACAAAATTACCTTCTGAAGCAATCAAAGCCTTGTTCTTTAGTATGCCATCAGAAATGTTGATAACTACTCTGAGCATTGTTTTGGTACCTACTACTTGAGTCCACAAAGCTGCAATAGTTTAGAATAAAAAGGATTTTTTTTTCCAAATCCTTATACATATATAATAGGGTAATTTCTCAGACTTGTATTAAGATGCCCACTTGACTTATTTTACTGTTCAAAATGTCATGTGACCTTCTAAAAAGGTTCATCATGAAGTACTGTCCTTATGCATTCTGTATCTGCCTAAATATAGGCAGACATCTGAAAGCAAGGCATTCTCTGATTTTCTTCTATTCTAGTAGAAAATTTGATTTTAAATAAGGCAACTCTGTTCTTTCCCACTCCCCCATCTTGTTCCCTGACTCTCAAACTCATCCTGCAGCTTCAGATGGATGGTGCAGGTCCCAGCTGGTGCTTGAAGGCAAGATGAGATGTATGAAAATCACTACCTATTACTAAACGTAGGCAGTACCAATCAGTAGATCAATACAGCTGATGCTCCCATGACAGCTCTACAGTACTTGGAGATGTTCAGTACATGAAAGAAGCGTGCCCACAAAAATCTTTTCCAAGTTGTTGCAAGCAGAAGCTGTTCTTTCTCCAGGACACATTACTGCCCATCAGTTGGTGGCTCATAAGTTGTGCAAACAAAATGCTACATGCTTGTAATCTACAGGCACAAAGGTGACAACATGACCTGTCTCAGCCACAGTGACTGAGAAAAAGTAAGTACATCAGAAAAACACAGAAAATGTAAGCCATATATAAATCAGGATGCAATAACATATTTAGTCCACTAATATTTACAAAACTTGTAAAAAGCTTTCCACAGAAAACAGAGCAGAGAAATTTCCAAGATGCTTATTACATATAATAAAGAAGGGATTTCAGCAATGCAGTGACAGAATATTCAGGAAAGACATGACCTGGGCACTTCCAAAGTTGTTCATCCTACAGATAACCATGAGTTAAGTCTACCTGCATGTATAGGTAATATAGACTTTTTTTTGGGGGAAAAAAAACCAAAACAAACACAAAGATCAACAGTCCCTCCCCTGCAAAAAAAGCTCCACCATTGTCATAATCTAATATTTATGATACTTGCTTTATAGATATGCCCAGAAATGAATATGTTTTCAAATTTATTTTTAAAATTATTTTTAAAAATTTTCATTTTTAGAAGTTTCTCTCCCACTACACAGCACAGAATGAAGAATCCTATATTGCCAAAACAAAATGGTTGTTGTAACGTGTCAAGTTCATACCTGAGATTACTAATTAATCTTATTTCAAAAGAGTTACACAACAATGAACTTTCCTTAAAATATCAAGAGTCCTTCCCTCCAGTACCAGCTCCTACATTTGCTTTGTTTCCCAAATGTCATACTGCTTCCTGCAGACTTAGCGGGGCTACAACTTTCCTATAGCCATCATTTCTGTACCAGATCTGATGGTACCTTTATCAAGATCACCACATGAATCCCTACCTCTCCCCTTCAAAACTTTGAATCCTTCCACAGGCATTCCCACTCATTCTTCCTCCTCCTTTACTATTGCTTCTTCACAAATGAGGAAAATTCTAGTAATATATGTAGCAAAACCCTCCACTTCTCACTGACAATTTACAGCACAGCACAATTACGTACTGCTGATTCACTGTGACAAGAGCCATTTACTCTGGCTGCTGACAGTACAGATGTTTTCTAGCATCCATATGTGTGTTTGGTTGGTGACACTGTGCACTGGTGTCCCTCTAGCTGGGCTGGTTCTCTGGTTGATACATTAAGTTTTACAAACAGCAGTCTCTAGTCTGAATAAAACAGTGAAATATCAGGAGCTAACAGCTTCTTATCTTAGAAATACCCTTCATTCTAAACCTCAAAAATGCTCAGATGGCATTAAGCAATAAAATCCTAATGGCCTGTTAGAAATATAAGCAAGCAAATATTTTCTTATGTAAGGAGGAAAAGCCCAACACTTATAGTCAACTATTTCTTATTCACAGATACAGCCAGTCATCCATCAACCAAGCCAACCAATCAATCCCTCATTTTACAACACTTATCAATATGCCCACATACACTGCCATCTGTAAGGGAAGGGTTTAGATACTAGGAAATCCTCATAGCCATTAAGATTCCCTTACTGTAACAAAACCAGAAACTTTAAGACTATAAGAATAATATTATAGAAACTAATTTGAAGGCTCTTATAATTCCTATTTACAAACTCAGTAACAATAGTTAATAATACTTTTGTTTTTCCTCCTTCACAACAAACCATGTAAATTTATTGCCACAAGATTTGAGGCCAAAAAAACCATAGAAAGATTCTGCAGGGCCTGGAAATTTACAGCATTGTAATGGCTAATGCTAGCTCCAGTGAATCTATTTAAGATATTAAAATTCCCATCTGTCAGACCTCTTTGCTGGATGTTACTGCCCCCAATGCAAAAGAACATGAGCCTGCATCCCAGCTACCCAGTTCTTAGCTCTTCATATCAACTCAAACCATAAATGAAAATTAGTTCACACCAACACACCTACGTAAACCACTGCAGCAAACATGCAGGTGCATTTTCGCTCTTGCCATCTAGACACAGACAAGCAGAAAGGCTAAACAGCTGCATGCAGGCACCAGGAAAGGAGATGATGATATTTAAACCACTGCAGCAGTTTTCTCTCACACTCACAAATAACGTTCTGTGCATGCGTTTGATTTGAAGGCGATTTTAAGTTTGGGAAAATAGACACACTACAAAAACAATACCCAAGTGGCAGACAAGAATGCTATTAGTATTACAGAGTAGCTATGCACCATGATTTCCAGAATCATAAGTACCAAAGTTCAGTCCCCATGCTCTAATGGGTCAGCTGCATCCCATGTAAAGCACCACAAACACTAACTGAAGTCCTGGGTGTACAAGGACACCCACTGGGACATTTAATTTACCCGAGTTAATGTTTCTGTCAACACCAGCTCTATGAGGGATACAGAGAAGATCCAATTCAGCAGGGATGGTTTACATCTCCCATAAGAAAAACAGGCTTGCATCTCAACCATGCAGCAAAATCTAGCAATTTAAATGAAAGCTTGGGAGCATTTATCTTTCCAAAGGAGCATTTATCCTTCCAAAAAGTGGAAGGAGAACACACATTTTAAGTTCAACAAGGCTTCCCAACATACAGTAGTCTGCTGTACTTGCCAATGAACTGAGACACTGTATATAAATGAACTACTAGAGAAGCACACTTCAAGCACAGTTGCTTTTGCATCCAGTGATTTAAGTTGCTTCTACAAAGTGAGAGAGCATTTACAAGCTTCCTGTGGTCTGTTGCACCATACTGCAGAAAAACCCTTCTGGGATTGAATTAGAGGATACAGTGGTTCACAAGAAAGGATGGCTAAGTTAACGGTCCTCCCCTCTTTCCTTTGTATGATTTCTTTCCAAAACCATATTACAGCACCATGGCTGCTCACTGTGTAGCACTTACTGTTGCTGGACTTCAGGTCACGGTGAATTATGGGAACAATTGCTTCCTCATGCAGGTAGTTCATTCCCCTCGCAATCTGTACTGCCCAGTTCACTAGTACATCAGGAGGTATCCTTTTACCAGACAACACTCTATTTAGCGATCCTCCGCGGGCAAACTCCATGATCAAGCAAAGATTAGGTTCCTTCAAACACACGCCTCTGAGGGCGATGATGTTGGGATGCTTTAACATTGCAAAGAGCTTGGCCTCTTGGCGGACATTCTCAATGGTCTGGCTGATGTCCTCATCAGGGTCATAGCGAGCTGCCTTAACAGCAACCTCATCTCCTATCCATACAGCTCGATACACTTTTCCGAAGCCCCCTATTCCAATGATTTCCTCCAGAACGAGCTCTGAGAAGT